TTCTTCTTCTTCTTCTTCTTCTTCTTCTTCTTCTTCTTCTTCTTCTTCTTCTTTGTATGAATCATTCTTTCCACCAATTATCAGATTGTGTTAAGAACTTCACTTTAAATGTTCATACTTTAAACTGAACTTTGATTCTTGTGTACATACTAGTATTCATGATCATGTACTGCAAACCTATTGGTATTTCTAGGCAGAATATGCTTGCTTCAGTGTCACCATTTGCATCGTACGCGGTTGCTTTAGAGGTTATCAAATCGCATTACACATGTATGAAGGTTATTACTACTGTAAATATTCTAGCGTTCTGGTGTCCCTCGTCAAGGTTGTTTTTTTTTCTTGTTTCCATAGTGGGTCGTAGTTCTTGTAAGTTTTTATTTTACCGGGATGGAAAGGCGAAAGGATGCCATATTATTTTCCTTTTGCTCAGACTTGCTGTGAATTCTGGCATGCTTTTCTTGCTTTCAAAACCATGTGAGTCAATGGCATATAATTAACATCTAGCTTATGCTCTTGACTAGTACACATGATATACAGTGGGAAAACATGTGGCCAATCCCTAAACAAATATCATTAAACATGTGTTATAGGTCTTGCTTTTATTAATCCTGTAATGCAATTTACTCTTCAATGTGATGGAACGTCAAAACGTCTTAGAAGTATTCTAGATTCAGACATCCTGCTGAGCCAGTCGATACTTACCTGTAGGCCTAATCGTTGACGATGATCGGGTGTATCGGTTCTGTGACGTTGCTATGTCGAAAGACAGGCTTTTAGCTTTGGTGTGCGAAACTACTTTTGTAACCTCAAACCCTTCCGGTAAATACTTTATGGTTGATAGATGTTCTTGGAGAAAGTAGAAACGCGATCAATAGCATAGGTTTTACATAACAAGATGCTTGATCCATCTATTTCATTTTGAGATACATGTACGTCATGTAGTTTTACAAACTCCTTTACATTCCCAGCATAAACACTTACATGTGTGTTATCGCGCGTTTGATACCATTTATAGAAGAAGCTCATTGTTCCTAAAGAAGCTTCTATTTGCGAAATGAAATGAAATACCTGTATTTCTTTAATACTGGCGGAGACATCTGTATATTGCTCATGGTCTGAAGAGGAAGCTGCTTGTAAATCGTGAATTGTATGATAAGAGGAAGTATAGGGTGATCAAAGAAAAATCAACAACAGTACATCTTTTTTCTGAATATCTCGCACAAAATTATGCGCGCTGGTGACGTTTAAAGGGGAGCAAACGGTGTGTGTTTGATCTGAAGTGGTCGTTTTGTCTTTTGTTTGTTTGTTTTTGTAAAGTGTTTTACGGCGCTCGCAACTGCGTACGGTCGTTTTGTCTGGTAATCTTTTGTTCTGATTTTTTACTGGTCGTAACTGATGGACCATTACCGCCCTTGACATCAAAGACGGCATTAAGGTTGGGGG